TGATTGATTTCTTGCGATCATTGAATATTCAACATTAATAGCTTTATCATTGGTGATTGTACCTTTCCTCAATATTTAAATATAATTTTATGAAGAGGAAATGAGACGCATAAAACGGTTGTGCCATTAATTTATGAGATTTTAAGATCAAAATAAACAATCAAAAGAATCAGAGAATATTTTAAAGGGAAAACGAAAACAGAGAAAATATTGATTGGAAAGTAAAATCCCATCATTATAGTATATAATTTCATATAAATTTGAAAGATTTTACAATCAACATTTTCAATCTTTTGCACAGCAAATTTTTGAGCCTTTTTTGCATATTCCAATTTCAAGTCCAAAATTTTCAAAAGTTTCAAATTCTTATAATTTGTAAAAATTCTTTAAGGAACCTGCACAGTGCCAATAATATATTAATAGCATTGAGCGCATTTGCTGATATTCTTCATCAAATCGGCCATATTCCATTTGCATATTTTATTTTTACTGGAATTACTTTTACACCATTGTGGACATGTATTTGGATACAATTATTACCGAATTTCGGTCTAAATTTTGCAATGGTTATATTACTTTTAACTGGCATAGATCGATCCATCGCTATTTTAAAACCTTTAAGGTATTCGAACAGAATAAGTAAATTTAATTAAATTTGCTAATGGCAAAGCTAAATTATTTGTTGTCTTCTTTCGAACTCCAATATGTTTTCTAAATAACAAACAGTAGTGATCACTTATAGATATCGAACAATGAGAAGGAGAATTTCAATTCCAGTAATGACCATACCAGCGACACTTTATTCAATTGTTATACTTATATTGACTTGTATATATGCCATAAATAACGAGTAAGTTACATTTTCAGATTTTTCTCGAATTAAATGTCTGATCTGTGATTATCAGAGAAATTTTATCAGTGAAAATTGATGCAAATGTAGGTGGAAATTGATATTTGGCTGAGATCTTTTTCTTGCATTTCATTGAGGAAAATAAATAAAAATTTGTTCAACGACTGTTATGTGAAATAAAAAAAGAAAGAGATGAAAAAACTTTGTTATTAAGAAGGAAAAAGGGTAAAAGTAACAAAATTTTTCAATTAAAAGAAAAAGAAGTACATATGAGATGTTCGATGCTTGAAATATTTATTGAAAATATATTGAAATTTGATTTTGTTAACTGACATTTTGAGCCTTTCTATTTTACTTGCAGTGACAAAGTAGTATGTGTTTTGGTAGCAATATACAGTGGTCAGTTCGATTGGATTTGGAGTGTTTTGACAGTTCTTCTAAATTTGGCAACAATTACCCTTTATGCAGTACTTAGTCGAATTATCGTAAAGGCTGAAATATGTAAATTATTTAAATAATTAACAAAAGACATGTAAACAAAGTATTAACCTGGATGTTCTATGTCACCGAAAATATTTTTTGTTCTGTTTACTATTCAACTGCCATGGTAGAGTCTAATTAATTAACAATAACTGAAGTGGATGCTGTAGTACTACCTCACTTTTAATTTCAGCAACTAGAAATTTCGAATTGTTACAAACATTAAAGATAGCAGTGGCATTTGTTGGATTGGGACATTTAGCATCAACGACCATTTATATGGTGACAAAGTTCTTGAATATTTCCGATGTGGCAAAGTTTTATATAGGATGCTATGCGGGAGTATTTATTAATATAAGCGTTTCATTCAATTGGTTATTTTACTACTGGAGAAGGTAAAAATTAACTGAAATTTCTTGTGAAAAAATATGTTGAAATGTTAACTTCAAATATTTACGTTTTATGTTGGAAGCATACCTCAGTGACTGACAATATTGATAGATTGGATCTATTGCTGTGATCATAAAAAATATTGCAGTGAAGAATATCGGAACGCATTTAAAAGACAATTCAAGAAGCTTCCATGTCTAAAGAATACCGTAAATTTGCAAACGAAACATAAAATGCAGCAAGTAACAACAGTTTACCGATTAGAACTTTCAAGACGTTTGTCGCATTAATCTGGCGCATTTGGTCACATTTTCAAACAATATCCCATGGAGACGATTAAGTGGGAATATTGGCAATAATTGCTATGTCCGTTCGATAAATTAATGAGATCATCGTGCAGCATTCCATATCGCTTCTTGAAGGTTAATCGATGTACGAAAAGTTTTGAAATGGATATTTTTGTTGTTATAACTTCGCTAACTTTATTGTTACACAAGAGAAAAAAAAAATGAATAAAATGAATATTACTACACCAACAGTCCATCAAATATTCGTCAAATTTTCACACTTTCTCTCAACTGTCGCTTCCCTTTCGCTTCAACAGTGTTACTGTTACTGGTGTAAAGCAAATTTAGAATTTCTTTCTTACTGCCCTGTTTCTTTGTGAAACAAAGTAGCTTCCTTTCTTGATGGTTCAGATTGTTGACTTCTTTGTCCTCGATAATCTCGAATTTGTACTGGTTCCGTTCTGTGTACGTGTACGTGAAACATTTTATTATTCAAACCTTAAACTCAAACTTGGGTAATTAAACCTTAGATTAACATTAAATATTATACAACATTACAATAATGAATTGATACATAACACAGAAATGTAACTTAATTATAAAACATTTAAAGATACAAGCAAGCTCGACACCTCGCAACCGAGCCATACCAAACAATGGTTTTTCAAGGAAGAAAATTGGGAGGGATTTTATGGGTGTTAAGGTTACAAAGTGGATTAAAATCATTTAAAACAATAGCCTTTGTTCATTAGATTATAGCTTCGCCATTGTGGCGGCAACTGGTGTGTCACCTCTGATGTCACCTTTTGTGAAGTGAACTGAGTGAGTGAGTGTTGCTGAGATGAACCAAACCAAAACCTCCAAATAATGTTTCAACTCCTTTTGTACAATGAGCATTAGCTTACAACAAATTGAGAGCTATCAGATGATCTTTACTCTTTATATAGTGGGAGCTGGTTTATAACGTTTGTTACAATGGTGACTGTCAAAGTGGAACACTGCAATGGGAAGTTATTAAAACGATGGATTTACAAGCTGAAATGTTAACAGTAAAATAAAAGTTTAAATGTTAGAACAATAAAATTAAGAGTAAAATTGAGAGCAATTTACAACATTTCAAGCAATACACAAAGTTTATGTTTTTCCTCTGAGATATAAAATTGAAACAGTTTGATATATATTTAAGGAATATTCGAGAAACATGGATTCAATATAGAACTATTCCAACACATTATTAAATTATTTCGATTTTTATTTTGTTGTCGCTAAAATTAAGAAAGGAGTTAGCTGAACTATTAGAACATTCAACTCTATTCAAAGCCGTGTTTGATAAATTACAGCTCTTTAATTTCCAAAAATTATATTTTTAAAATTGCGGGATTGTTTCAAAAGTAATAAGGATTATGCCAAAAAGCTTCAAAAACATATATCTCAAATTTGGTCGAAAAAGTCCCGAAAATTTTCAAATTTATTTATATTAATTATACTTACAGAAAAAACAAGAATGAAAATTATGGACACAATTAGAGAAAATGAAATTATGCACCGAATTACAAGAAATAAAATTGTATAAGAAAAATCTGTTATGGAATGTTAATGTATTATTGATATCCAAGATGCTATGAAGCGGAAAACATGGAGGTTATTAAAATTAAATCGTATATAATATTTTAAAAAGGACAAATTCTTCTCTTAGACGGATTTGTTCTTTATTTAGTTAATAGTTTCAATTCAAATACTTTGTCATCATTTCCCTACCCTTATCAAATGCTAACTCAATTGAATTTCGAGCTCAAATTCTAATTCGAACTTCGGCTTCTGTTGTTGTATATATTTTTGAAATTTTTAGAAAAAAATTTCACTCAATTTGAGAAGTATAGCTGATGTTATCCGAAGAGAATAATTCCTACCAAAGCAGCCATTATATCATAAATTTATAAATCAAACAAATTAAATCTATTGGAAAGAGAGCTCATAAAGATAAATAGCATACATGTGTTACATCAATATTACGATGCATTCCAAAAACAAAAAATTCAAGTATTGGTTCAACATTGGCGATTACTAATCGAGTAATCAAATGATCGAAGAACACCAGGTAAAATAAAGAACAAAAAATCACTAATTATTTACAATTTCCATTAAAGCAAGCTTACAATTTAGTTTCAAAAATTTTTAAAAATTTAAAGAAAAAATTGACTGATGAACTCAAAGTCTAGAAAATTGTTGAATTGCTACATTTAGTGAACAAACACAAATTAACGTCATGAAAGTTTGCTGAACTGAGCAACTTAAGCAGCAGAAAAAGTAAACACACAGTCAAGTTGGTGGGACATTAATTTTTTAATATATCATAATTCGATAATGCAATAAGAAAAAGTTGTCGAAAAAAAAAATCAAAAATTAAAAGATTAAAAAAGTAGCATAAGCTAACAAAAAACAGGCAAAACTTCTGGATTTTAATATTTTGTGAAACATCAACTAATATCACACTTGCATGTGAAGTTTTTTAATAACAAGTCACTTTTTTTTTTAGAATTAAACTGAGGCATCGAATAGTGCTAGATCTAAACTAATATAAATCCAAATTCAAATTTAAATCAATGCAAAAAAATAGTAAGTCTAGAAATGGCGCCCAGAGAATTTCCAATTTGTGCATGAAATTCAATCTGAATATCTCATTTGATATAAGAATAATTACAAATAAAATAGAAACAAAGTATTTCAATATTATTAAGATCATGAAAAAAATGGAAAGAGATGATGACAATGAAAAAGAGGCTTAGAAATGAACAATGTATAAAATTGGAAGAAATATAAAGTTGGAAGAAACTTCATATTGCTTCCAGTCAGTATTGCACTCGATTTTTTTCTAGTTATATCATTTACATTATAGTAATTTACTTCTTCCAGTTGACAAAGAGAAATAAAATTAAACAACAACAATAACAACAAAAGAGTAACCTAAGATTTGAAAAGTTGCTTTACCTCTATCACACTGCAGTAACCGGTCCAAGTTCCGCAGCAACAGCAGCTGCATGTACAGCTTTTAGAGTATGCGCTTCGGAACACTTAGTTTTACGAATGCCAACAATTGGTGCCATTCGTTTCGTAAATTCGATATAATTTTTTTGCAGTTCATTCTATAATTTTATAAAAAATGAATTCTCACTGTAAAATTCCTCTAAATAATTCATTATGAAATAGAATTGGCAAATGAATTCAACAAGTAAACCTGATAAGCTTGTTGATCAGCTTGGATAAGCTTTCTGTTCTTTTGAAGAGCATCAGCACATTTTTTTGAGAAGTCTTTAAAACATAAGCGAAGCTTATTCTGGAATTTATCCATCGGCTTGCCATGTTCATCCAAAATCATATTTGTAAGGAACACGTTGGCAACCTTCAAAAAAGAAGCGTCTTTAATTATTGAAATGATAATGAAAACACTGGTAATATTCTTTCCATCTATTCTCAAAAAAGTGGACATAACATTATAAAATGATGGAATATTTTTCATATTAGAGAAGGAAAAAAAATTCCCCACAAAAAAAAATTTTCGAATTTAGAAATTTAGTTGGAACAAAGTTGAAGCAATTTGCTTACTTACTGCTATTACTCTGAAATTCATTTCTAAAGGACCTTGGTAAAACTCTACACTCACTTCTATAGGACCTTGGTTGACAGTGGTACCGATGCAACCTTGCAGTACCATTTGAAGCATTTTAGCATCTGGTGGGTCTTGCACAGTAGCAGCGGCTAATTCACGAGTTCGTTTTTGGACATCTTCAATTGCAACTTCTATTGGCGTCAAAATGATTTGTTCACGACTCACCACCCGAAGACGTGTTTTCACATAAGGAAAACTAAAAGAAAAACAAAAAGAAAAACAAAAATAATGCAGAGAAAAGCTCATTTAAGCAGAAAAAAAAACCTTAAAATGATGAATTAAAAGAAATTTTCCATTCTCAATCTACGTGGAACTTTTAGAGAGACTGCTACATTTTAATAACTCAAACTGAAGTTTATGAATTAGAAATTCGATTAAAAGTTACCAATACTGCGTGGCTAGGACAGTTCGTCTTTTGTATTGATCCTTCAAATCACCATGAGCTCGACCATCTTTCGTGAATGGTGTCGCATAAACGAATCGATATAATCTGTGATTCCTCTCGAAATGAGTTGGACGACGACGACGTTCCCAATTCTCCAAATACGGCTCCACATATGTGATTTGCAAATAAGCTTTTGTAGAATCCAAACGATTTCGATCAACCTACAGATCGATTTTAAAACATTAATTAATAGAAGTAACTTTCTTTGTCCCATTCATAAAAAGATTTTGGTATTCCAATAATATTATTGTAAAATGTAGTTTAAAAAAAAATGGGAAACATACAGTATTTGAATCTTTAATAACTTCCAAAACTCCTTTTCCAAAACGATCTGTATAAAATGTATCCAAACGATGACTGATTTCGGACAATTTTGTAATGGCCGGTTCTTTGTAGATGAATTCGACACCGTCCAAATCTCCAAAACGACTGCCATAAAAACCTACCCGAAAATAGGTGCCAAAACAACGTTTGTCAGCACTGGAATTCAACAAGTTTTTAAAATCAGTGATAGAACGAAAACATAACCATATTCTTTCCAAAAAATTTCTCATAAATCTCGATTTCAAATAGTTAAGTTAACTTTTGATAATTATAATAGTCATAAGTTATCCCTAAATGTCGTTTGAGAGCAAAATATATTGGAAGGTCAAAAGAAAAACCTAGCTGTAAAAAAGTCTCAAATAGCACAGCTCTATCTTCACATTTCTTGAAAATTAAATGTTTGGCTAAAATGAATGAATGAATTTGGAATTCTTTAGCTCATACCTTGGTAAAGGTGAATACCATGCATCGGCGATATCTTCAATTAGCGGTACAGTTGGCTCAATACGTGAAAGAGCTTGACTTAGGCAACTATGTACTTGTGCCAAATGCCGATAATCACGATTTTCTTCCAAAATTGGTGTTATTACCTGATATAAACAAGAAATCGGAAAAGAAAAGACTGTATAAAACTTCAAAATTTTCAGGTTAGCTGTAAAATAAAACCTGACTCCAATACAAGTAGAAATAACCTTATACAGTTGTATCATTGATTCATACATTTGAGCTTTCTCCATAAACTGTGCCGTCTTCTCCACCAAATGTACTAAGCCATTTCGTGTAAAATGACGACTTTCACAAATACCTTCTTCATCAGGACTGAAAATTAATTAAATTCTATAGCATCTATTATATCGACGATTTCATTTCATCTTTCAAATAAAAGTTTTTGGAAAAAAAAGACTGAATTTAAAAGGAGAAAAAAAATTTTTAATGATCCATTTTTTTATTACTAAAAACATTTTTTAGTTAGATCAAAAACATTACCTAATAACATCATCCGAAACAGCACTTTCCTCGAGAATATTATCACTTATGGCTTCGAAAGCAGCAGCACCTTTAGGTACATATACGTCATATTCACGCATCGAAATATATTCAGCAGCTAAAGCAGCTGCATGTAACATACATTGTGCAGCTTCTGCTGCATTATCTCGAGCTGCATGCTTATTTGCCATATTTATCAACCATGTCAATCTAAATCATTACATTTTAAAGCCGATTATTTTATGTTTCCAAAAAAAAGAAATCTCGAGATTTGTATGTAAATTAATAAAATAGAAAAAGGGAGGTATCATAACAGTTCGATAATAAGGAACAAATAATTCCATTCAAGTTAAATTTAAAAATTCTTTTCCTTTGATTATCTGATGAATACTATTATAGCAATAAAGAAATACAATATGACTTCTAATAATAAACACCGAAAAATTATACTAACCTAAGATCTGGATTGTTCTGATATCCTTTAGCGACACGATACATCAAATCAATTAACATTTCAAAATCATTTGTATATTCTTTCATTTTTACTGTATCCGATAATATCATATGTAAATTGAAAACTAGATCTTTCACCTGCAATTACACTCAATGCTTTCTTAATTTGGAGAGATCTAAATTGTAAAGAAAATTTGAAAGATATTAATTCAGAAATTGACATTTCACATAGTTAACCTGCTCCGAAAAAGTTGTATTTCGTAGCTGAGAATCAATTGATGCATCTGTTTCTGAATATGTAAGCACAGTTTTTAAACTGTGACGTAAACAATCTTCATTTATCCAGTCACCATATTTGGTACCCGTAGAAACCAGTGTACTCAATGACATCGTAATTTGCATCTTAACTTTTGAAAAACTTGCACCTGATTCGAAACTTTGCCTCATCAATAAATATAGCGAAGCTGCAGCCTACAAATTCTTTCTTATCAGAAAATAAATTCAATTTTCTGTAAACAAGAAAATAAATAGCAAATTACTTTGATCGAGATTTTCATTCAGATCATGCTCGCTCTTATTTGACTTGTTTCTAATGAAGTGCTAATGCATGGTGAGTAAAATTATTTCAAATTTAGTTTACATAATTTTTTCAGAGTATTCTATTTGAGAGAATAATCTACCATCTTTTTCTATATGTAAAGTTATATCTATTTCATAAATTCTTTTAATAACTATTATTTTTTGCTCCATGTTTTTTTTAAAAGTTAATATAAATTGCACTGTTATTAAGTTAGAGTTAAGTAACAGTCAAAGTGAATTAATTTGAATACATAATTTCAAAACTTTAATAGTTAATAGTACCTGAGAACGAACAGCTGGTAAACGAGATGCACAGTGTCTTAGTAGATGAAGGCATAATTCACCACACTGTTCAGTTTCCTGCAAATCATTTATTGTCACCAAAACAGCTCTTAAATTTAATATGGCAGACATACATGCACGAAGGAAGAAGATTCCGAACAAAAATACATCTAAGAAAGATGAACTCGAATAAAGAAAAAAGTAACAATCAGAATTGCCAGAGACGAATTAAATAAGCGCAAAAAACCATCTTTCGAAGTAATAAATTATCTGACAATCGGTGTATTTCGAAAATAGCAAATATATTATTAACCTGTTCAAATAATAAATCTGGAAACTTTGTAACTATTGCACGCTGACTTGCAAAAACATTTTCCAAAGTCTGCACTGATTGATTGCAAGCAAGAATATGCATCTTAAAAATATTCATTGAAAAAAATTGACTTAATTTTCTATCATTATTTTTTCATAGTAAATATTATGCTCAACTGCTAATTAAATTACAGCCATTTTGTTTATCCATTTTTTTAAAATTTATTTTGGTACTTAAGTTCAGACTTTTCAGTATAATACTAAGCTTAATATTAATTTTATCTATCGTTTTGTATATTAAAACAAGAAATTCCCAACGCCGCAATGCATCTACACCGGTATTGACGAATATGCTTCTCATGAATAATAATAATAAAATAAAACCTTTTTACCTTGGTAAACTAAAAATCGAAATGAACTAAAAAATGGCAATAATTTAAAACTACAAAAGCAATAGTAATGATAAACTCACCAATACTTTTAATACAGATGATAACACATAAAAGAGATAATCAGAACCGAGAACCGACACCACACGTATGATTAATTCTAACGTATCCAGCACTATTAATGGTATCTCGGTGCAAAGAGTTGCTTCAAGGATAACATCTTCATCAGTTTCTAAACCAAATAATTAATTCTGGAAAATAAATAGTTTCCGAATTCTTCCGCACTTCAATGATTTTCTTAACATTTCGTAACGAGCAACTTAATTTTGATTTATAATAAAACTATTAATCTTAATAGCTGATTGTAGTTCATAACTTACGGATAGGTTCATCGCTTGAGTGTCCACCGCTACTACCTGTGCAACTTTTCCAAGAACCTTTTACTTGTGAATCTTTAGTTTCTTTACGCCAACGAATTCCACTTTCAGAATCAGCTGCACTACGTGATTTTTTCCGGCTAAGTTCTTTAACTGATGAATCGTCAACATTACTACCTTCGTTCTTTATTTCCTCTGTAATCTCAGTGATACCCTGCAAATTGTCGATAGACAGTTCAGTCGTTTTACCATCACATTATACAAACTCATAGAATAGTAAATTTACAAAAATTTCCAGTTCTTAATATGAAAATTACTTCAACAAAAAAAAAGAAAGTTACTTGATTAGGACAGAAAGATGATCTGAATTCGAAACATGAAACAGCAAGTTGTAGAACATCAAGAAACTGTAAAATTCGATGAGATGACAAATCGCGAATCCATTGACGCAAAGATGATCGTTCCATATTTTTTAACGCCCAACAGAAACATGCTAATAGCTGAATAAAATTTGAATAATAGAATTCAATAAATAAATATCTAAGATAATTTTTTTTTGTAAAAATTATCACTTGACGTGTATTTTCCAATGAAATTGATGGTCGGACTAAACCAATATGTTTTCGTTCGGTTCGAGGTGAACATGGTGGTGAAAAATTCATTCCACCAATTGCAAGCATAACTTTATCGCTAATAAATGGTCCATTATCTATTTCGGTCGTGTAACTGTAATTAATGGGTGATATAAAAATGATTACAATCTTTTGTAAGTTTTAGAAATATATTTAAATGAATATGTCAGATGTCAAGAAGAATGTTTAAAGATTGAAAAGTTTACCCATTAGAAATTGGCGTGGAAATGTCATAGTTAACACTGGAAGATTTCGAGTAAGGATCGTGTAATTGAGTTGACGCATCCAAAACAATACCAATCATTGGTAAATATAAAGATGCTATTCGTGCTTTTACCGCATTATCAAGAAGTCGAGCATCCAATTCATGGCTACTTAGCAAATTACGAATAAGGCCTATAGCACTGCAAACAATCCAAAATTATCGTTTTTTTTCTTTCCCCGAGAATTAAGATAGTATAAATGAATGATATCAAACGAACTTAGTAAATTAAATAAGAAAACAACAAAATGATATAAATGATGAAACTTTTTTTTTTACAAGCAATCCAAATTATGATGAATTACACAAGTCAAAAACGTTACGTGAACTAACCGTGAATGAAGCAGTGTATTTGATGTATCAAGAACAGAAGCAAGGTCAGCAAGAGCAAGCCCAATTAGAAAGTGTCGTGAACGAAACTCAGCAGTTAGTTCTGCTGATCCAATTGCACTATGTGATTCATTTGCTTGGCTTGAAGACATGAAAAAAGAATGGAATAAAATTACATAAAACAACAATCTTCGTATAGAATACCAAGAAAATAAAAAGTTGAAAGGATAAGTTTGGAAATTTATCAGAAAATGGATTTCAGAAATTTAAAACTTTTGAATTCGAGAAACTAAATCATACCTACTACTACTAATACTTGAATTTCCCGGACTAGATGGTTGAATTTGTGAAGAAGAATGATGTAAGGAAACTGATAAATTAGCGCTACCTTCCGAACTAGACGAAAATGCCGATGCTGCTGACTGAAATTTGAAGTGAATGAGAATACGGAGAAAAAATGAGTACTGATTGATTAGTTAGCAAAAAAATGACAAACTTCATGAAACTTTAAAAAACTTACATGAAATGATCCACCAGAATGGCTTGTTGACATACCCTGCAGATTACTCGAACCAAATGGTAAATTCAACACAACAAAATGCTCATGAGAGGCAATAATACGCAAAAAGTCAAGTTTAATCAGCATGAGAGTCGGGACTATACATGATTCGGTAGAATTTCTGAAAAAAAAAAAAAAAAAAGATTGTTCATCAACTTTTTAATGTAATAAGTGATTATAATTATGGCTAAAAAGTCCCTTATTATGATTCACTGCAACGAATAATCAGTTTGGCGTAATTAGTATTTACAAAACCACCTTAAATCTGAACCTCTTAAATTGATTATTTCTGGATAAACAGTTAATTTGCATATGAGTAATTCAGGAAATGAACTTATTTTGCAGCTTTTTGATTAATAGTTTCTGAAAAAAGAATTCAAACAAAAATTTACCCTATTTTAATAGCAATTTCGCGGTTAAATTCTCCGATCAATGTCATCACAAAAGTTCTATCCATTAATGAGAAACAATCACGTAAGAAATAAGCCCATGATGTACTGATTGATTGTGACTGAAGTAGATAAATTTAATCTTTTTGAGTGCATCAGTAATAAATCATTTATGTTATATTTCATCTTTCTTTTTATTATCATCTTTATCAATTATCATTATGTGGTTGCATCTCATAATTTATCACCAAATATTATTATTTGTTCTTTAATAAGGCAGAAATTTCTACTATGAACATTAATTACCATGTAATTACCTGTCTTGGATCTTTCGAAGTTCTTTGAATCACCTCATTGACAATAGCCTGAGAAAGAGCATTCAAATCTTGGATGAAAGCTTCACTAAAACGAAGTTTGCGTGGCAAATACAAACGATTTGAAAGAGATAAATGTTCTGCCATTGATTTAACCTATAAAATATATTGTAAATATAAAATATATTATAAGTAAAAAAAAAAAAAAAAGTGAAATATGTCAGTTTGTTTCATATTATTCTGACTGAATATTATTTGAGCTATAAGGTAAAGAATAAAGGTATAATTTAATTGCTCAGTTCTAACCCTAATCCCATATAAATGCTAAATAAATGACTTAATAAATTTGCTATATGATGACATACCATGAGTTCAAGGAAAAACCAGGAATTAAGAAAAGCCATTTCTCGAGCTGCACCACCACTGATTACCCATTGCAATGCTAATTCTTCGTGCATCATCTGCAAAAACCCGATATATAAAAATAAACCCTAAAAATAATGAAAATTCCACTCAATTATAACTGCAATTTTTATGTAATCTGATTTTCCTCTTTCTATTACAACTAATATAATTGATAATGCGCTCGATTTAAATAAAATTAAACTCCTAACATCAAAAGTAGAATTTACAAACTTTTGGAAATAAGATATTGCAATATTCAAAAGATTTTTGAAAACCAATCAAAAAATATACAACATAACCTTTTTTGGTGTTTTCAGTTCATAATCACCTTCAACAGATGCTTTCATATAATTTGTTCGCTCAAATTCTTCTTTAAAAAAATAAAAATTTCATTCTAGTTATTGATGAATTCTTAAAAGTTTTTTTTTTCTATAAAAAAAAATAATATAGAATACCATTCTTTTGGAAGTTAAATCACAATATATTAAAATGAAAATGATTCTTCTTCAAATAACTAAGCCATTGCATATCTAATAAAATTATAAAATATATCGAGTGAATTATTAAAATCTCAGCTTAAAAAATTTGTATGTAAACAACTTCCAATAAAAAAAATATCATTAAAGTTATGCTTATCAAATATCCCGAAATTTAACTCCACTTACTGATAATATCGAGCAAATGTTTACTTTCCGGTGAAGTAGGCATTCGTACAGTACTCTCCGGTTTCGGTTCCGTCTTACTGTTGTTTGACTGGACAATTGAAGTTTCTAAATTTAAAAAGCATTTGAAATTTCATAACGTAATATTAACTACACTTACATCTTATCTTGCAGTATATAATCATTGTTCAGCTGCGTATTTTTTGTCTGATTAACAAAAAAGAAAAATCCTGGTAAAATTTATAATAAACCTTTCAGAGCAATTTTGTGGTAATGTATATAGGTCGTCAGGAGTGAACTACGACCATGCGCATCACGGAAGCTATTCAAGAGAACGGTACATATTTTGACAAGTTGTCCAAGCACTTCAAAACATACGGCCGACACAGATACTGCAAATAATAATAAAAATAACATTAAAAATAAATTTCAACATTTAAGAACTTAATGACCTAATCAAAATCAATCTAAACTAAACATTTTTATGGTTTCAAAAAAAAAAAAATGGAAAAGTGATACTTCATACAATACCAGAAGACATATTGTTAAATATTAACTATCTAAAAGTCACAATTCATAAAATAGAGGCATTTTCATTTAGAAAAACAAGATTAAAATTAGTTCCGATCTAAAATCTTCAAAAATATATAATTGAAAATAATAAAACAGACCGGTATATGGAGGATTTGCAATTAATGCTAATAGCTTATCCAGTATAACATACAGGAAAGCAACCATTGGCTCCGGACGAGCTTTTATAACACTGCGTATTGCATCCTTTAAATCAGCTTCCGATACCGGTGGATTCTTTTTATCGTTTATACTTAACGACTGATATGCAAGCAGAAATTTGTCCAAATGGGAATCCTAAAAATAACAGTCATACTTTCAAAACTAAATTTCAAAAAGGATAACCTGACCATTCGTTGATTGAACTAACTTTCTCAAGAATAAAAAAAAAAAAAAAAATTAAAACATTGAAATAAACACATCATACCTGTGTATGAACTGTTGTAACGGCTTCAAGTTTAATATCAAAAAGCGGTTTGTGTCCTTCCAGCCACTTAACATTTGGCAAATTGACATCCGGTGAAAGATACCCATAACTTTGTGGTAATTGTTCTAATGCAATCGGTAAAGCAAATTCACCGGTTTGCAATCGCCCATCTTTGAGTAAAGGAATCCATGAATAACCTATGGGTATTTTCACTTCATCGCCAACTTTGTTTGCCTTACAAGTAATGTGGAAAAAAGTGAATAATAAGTGATGGCCATCATTTAAGTCAACCGGCAAATTGATTTTTATTTCATCACAAAAAGTAGGCGTTCTGAAATTAAAATTAGAAAAAAATAAAGAATAAAACTTTTAAATTAATAAAAAAATAAGAGTGACACTTTACCTAAATCTTCACTGCTCAAATATTGCAAGAAAAAATTTAGTGAAATTTGTTCAGTAAATTTCTTCCTAAATGTATCCACCATTGAAAATAACGATGAAATGATAAGAACAATAATTTCAAATAAATTATTTATGTTTCAAATTTTCCGAATGGTATCATTTCTGACCATACAAAAAGATCAAAAATTGGATGAAACTACTTTACAAACATTTACATTGCATATAACGATTTACCTATTTTATTTATTATCTATAATTTACTTGCAATACATTATAACAATTACTTATTGTGATAGGAAACTGCCGTATCAGCAGAAAAAGTGATATTTGGTCCACTAGATTTACCAAATATAGCATAGATTGGCTTTTCCTGAGCATTCATCAATTCCACATGTATAGCAATATTACGTGATGGACCAGAACGACTGGATAAATTAACTGATCGAGGATAAACGTAAAGAAGATTCCTGAAATATCAACATTTCATTAGGAAAATAAAAACAAAAAAAACAAAAAGTGAAATATAAATAACATTTAGCAATTTTAATTGCTTACCTATAAATAGCATTTACTGCATAAATCCCTTTACTCGGGAATTCCACAATTTCCTTGACAATATCCGCTGGATTACCAGAAGCGAATGGATGCATACGAAGAAGTTCAGGTGTAAGCCGAAAAACAAATAAAACTTTATAAAATGAATGAAATTATTTAACTAATCATATATTTAAATGAATAATCCAGATCCTTGAAAGAACAATAACTATCGCTAACTAGAAATTCAAATTTTAAGTGATTTGTCAGAAATTCAATTGTCTGAACAGAAGGATTTTTAATTTTATCCCTCATTTTACAATAAACTTCAGAAAGAAAAAAATCTTAAAATTAAATGATTACAAAACACTGAAAATATAAAATAATATTAGTCAAACTGTTACCTCATTAAAGATTCGCCACATCCACCTGACAGTTCCATTTTGAATGTAATTGGAAATGTTTTCAGTCTAGCTAATTTGGAACCACCTTTTCGACAATCCGCAAGCATTTTGCAGAGATCCTCATCGGTTAGACGTTCTGCTTCCTATAGTAGTAATAAAGGAGTAAAAAATAATAAAATAAAAATTGAAGAAAGAAAAGAAATTTCAAAAATAAAAAAATAGAAATAGGAAGCAAGCAAAATATAAACTTCATACAGAAGTATGATGAAGTTCCAAGCATCATCACTGACCAATATGATAAGTAATAATGAAATTACATTAGAACATTTGACATCAAAACAATATCATGATTTTTTGACAGTTCTTAATTATAACTATTCGGTATCAGTAACAATGTTTTATTAAAATAAAAAAAAAATAAAATTTGTTAATCCTTTCAAATTTTTTAAACAATTTAGCTCATGCCATGCAATTTTTTTTATTCAACATTACCTGTCTGAAGAACGAATTAAGACTGAGGAGCAGAGGTTGCAGATTACATAAGGAAGTCAATGGAGATCCGCCATCTTTCAATAATGAATCAGTTTCGAGACCTGATCCTGTTGTAATTGCATCATTTTGCGAAACAGTTTGATGAAGTCCTCCGAAAAGTTTACGTTTTTGCAATGGTGTACGATTTTTTTGGGATTGCTGCGCTCCTACAAAGACTGCACCGGATGAAGTTCCGCTACCTACGCGGCGAAATGTTCCCGATGTTGAGGTTGATATTCGATCTAAAACATGTCTTTTAAACCAATCAAATTTTAAAACTCATGAAGCCAATTTTTAAGCGACTTTATTAGAATGAAATTAAAAATATATCTACAAGATCAATGAAGATAAATTCTGAAATCTTTTAAAGATAAAAAGCAACTTACCCATACTGATAATGCTTTCTACATCGAATAATGTTGTTGGTGAAGCTTGGGTTATATCCTGTCCTGCAAATGTAACAATTGCAAAAAGTTAGAATTAGTCAAAATTAAAAAGCAAATATGATTATCTTCAAAATTTTCGAGAAAATCTTGCCTTATCATTCTTATCAATTCCAATTTGCTGAAAAAAAAAACTGAATTGAAGTAATCAAAATAATTTTTAAAATAACACATACTAATAGAATCTCTTTCTCTCTCTCTCTCTCCCTACTTAATCCGTATGCAAAATAATCATATTAAAGAGATGCATCATTTCGATATATTTCAGATAATGTAAAGAAAATTCATGATCCACATAATGTAGGAAAAAAAAAATACCAGAAACAGAGCTCGCAATCATTGTCGGTTCAGTCTTATCCGGATGATATGATCCATTAAGGATTTGATTCAGGTCAATAGCAAACCATCCAAGTGGCATTCGAAAAGCACCAAGTCGTTCACAGTATTGTTGTGCCATTTGCATTAATCGTTCTTTATTTTTATCTTCTTTCACATATGGTTCACATGCATCTGCTACCTCGCATGGTTGTAATACTTTTTCAAGCTAAAAATTTAAATTTAAAAATTTAGAAAAATTTCGTAATGCTAAATTTATCATTCCATTGGCATTTTGATAATTTTTTTTCCTACCTTGATGACAATAAATATATCGTTTAGTGGTTGACTTATACTGAAAATTGCTTGTGTACATTTACTTGCATCATCCACGCAATCAGCGTGCTGCGAAATCATTGCACGAAGTGAATCATCATTTAAATCAAAATAGAAATTCTCTGATATCTGAAAATCACAATTACACAGTTTTCAGCAATCTTTAACAGTTTTTGTGATAATACTATGATAATATTTTTGAATAAATGTTAAAAATATTATCATATTTTTAACACTTATTTGTGATAGTTATAAAGATTCAGAAGCGAACATGACTCTTCCAATAGTAGCAACGAAGTACTGATTAACAACATTCAAACACTATTAATGATTTAAAAAATACATCTTTTTTTCTTTTTTTCTGAGAAAAAAATAAAAATACAATTTATTAAGTGTTTACCTTTCGTCTTTCTTTCAAATCGTAAAGTACAATAGTACCAAAAACGGGTTCAAACGAAGGTTCAAGTTGTAACTAAAATTTTAAATTATCGCTTTTATTGAAAATATATCACTACAATTAGAAATAGAAGTATAATAAAAAAATGGCAAAATTTTTAAAAGTTAAATTTTATTTCTTGTACATACTGCACTGTACCAGAGGAGAAAGATTTTCTTTCGTAAGAAAACAATAGATTGGTACAAAGGCGGAGAAAGGATGAGGAATATTTTGCAACAACTTGGAATTTCTCTAAGACACGAAAAATAGCTAAATTAAAGAAATTAAAATTTCTAAACTACTTACAATCACTAACCTTCAAAACTTTGATAAAAAGTTTCTGACCGGTATGCTCAACCGGGAATGGTGCTGGACTTCGACGTTCAATTACATCAGCCTAAATAATTCTATTACACTCTATGAAGTAACAGGATTTCCGGATTCGAATATACTTATAAAAGATTTCGACAAAGTTTACTAAATATTTCTAGCTGATTATCTAAACAACGCATTTTTTTTTACAATTTTTAGATAACAAAAAGATTTCTATCAGAACATTCTCATCAAGATAATCTTCAAGAAATAAAACAAAAAACTAAATCAATTAAACAAAAATTAAATCAATCAATTATGTGTAGTACAAACTTCAGACTGAGGTGGAAGTAAGCTAATTAATGCATTTTGCCGATGGGCTCGTCTTCGAGCTTCATTAATTTGATCAAGTTGTGTATTTGAAATACGTTGCACTACACCTGAAAAGATGCTATAATTAATTTCAATTAAATATATTTTAACAAAAAATTTCTAAAAGAAAATAATTGACCATCATCGGTAATCACAAAAAAAAAGGCAAAAAATCGCTCTAAAAATAATCAATAAGTTTGATTTTTTTCTATCCTTACGATCATTAATATGATCAGTAAATTTAATTTAGTTAAATTTTTTTTTCTTTAAATTTAATTCACAAACCGGGCACTGTAGGGTCACTAGCAGAAGAATGAAGCTGATGAGGTGCACGTAAAATATCATCACGATTTGTTCCACCGGATGATGAACCAACAGTACACATTGAATCGGATGAATAGTGTGAACCGAATGAATCACGTTTTGCAATCTATTATTATCATAGCTTATTAAAATTTCAGAATTTACAAAATAAAGAGTTTTGGAAAGTGTTTAAAAAAAAAAAATCACTAAAGGCTATGCATTATTACAAAATTGCATTTGCTGTAAAGTAATTAGAATGACGATAACATTCACTATAAAATAATTTTATTTGAGTAAGACAATATTTCAATAAGACAAATACCTTTTTTATCTAATAAATGTCGCCTACAGTAACGGTATTATCAGTCCTTTCAAAGTTTAAAATGTTTTAAATTTTAGAATAAATCATTTAAAAAATACTTTCACTTCTTCCATATTATATACATTTCACTCAGTTATATACTTTTTTTTTTCTAAAATACATTTGTACGTTGATTTTAAAAAGTTTCAGGTATAGAGATTACTATAAAGGATTCATTATTAGTATTATTAAGGATTCATTATTATTGAGATTATTCTAAAGGATTCATTATTAGTTATTATTCATAGTTCATCGATACTTTTTACCTGATCCTCGCCTGCCGTGCTAACACTTCGTCCGATAGGTCGCTCTGAATCCACTTCAAAAATTTGTTTTGGAGTAGTCTGAGCAATAATTGGCCGTTCCATTAGTAATCGAATATATGCTTCACCGCTTGAATATTGAAGATATTTTCGTTGTACTAGCGAAAAGCTATCGTTGTATGTTTGTATTATATCATTTACAAGTGAATCGACACTAGAAAAAGAAGAATTATTTAACAAAAAAAGTAGTAGAAATGAAATTTATATGAAATTAAACTAGAAATAGGACTGAATTTAATGATACTGATATATACAGATAGTCTTAAGCTATAAATGAATTAAACATTCATTGAAATTCATTTAAATTAGTTCTAAAACCCTCAAATCTTTGATCTATTCCTTCATTAAGGGAAAAAAAATTTAGAAAACCCTGAAAGATTTGATGGAATCGGTGATTCAACCGTAAGTTGATCTCGATGTACCAAACGTACTTCAATATCATCGACCGGAAATTCTGCTACTCTGAAATTTATTGTGGAAAGAAGTAAAACAATTAAATGCCTTGAAAATATAATTATGTTTACTATGAAATATACTCCTAAATTTAAAATCATTTTTGCAAAAAAAAAACATATGTACAAACCTTCTCAAATTACTGTTACTAGAAATATGCTCATGTACAGATGAATTGCTTTTTCGTTGTGACAAAATATCTTCCACATCCAGCGGTTCAGCTACTTCAATTAAATTAATCTAAAAATTAAAACAAAATTTTACTTCTATGATTAAATTTTAAAAATTCATCCTATGAAAATAGAATCTATATTATGCATCTCTTTACACAGCAAAAGTAAAAAGCATATTTGCTTATGAAAAAGAAAAGCATTTTTGATTTAATGAACAATTTACTTCAAAAATGAAATTCATTCAGTACAATTCTCGTTTACTTTTTAATTTGCATTTTATTCACGGTAAGATAAGAATTTTGTTACATTAATCGTAGTTAAAGTCTAACAAATCAGTAAATATCTGCTCATACTTTTCACAATAATAAAAAACAGTCAATAATTTACATTTCACTTCTGAAATTTTTGTGACAGAACAAAATTCATTTCACTAATACATCTCTTCACAATTTTCAAACAACTTAGATTTCAGGTAAAACTACAATTTCACACGATAATTTCATATATACTTTTATTAGATAATTTAGTGAAAATTAAAAACTAACAGTTTGAGGAGTACTACTATCTATTGAATCCATTTGCATAGCATTCTGTGGATGCAATAGCAAACTTCCCATCATAATATGTCGACGTACATCAGCTGCAGTCATTCTGCAAATAATAAAACTGAAAGTAATCATTTTCAAAACACTTAAATTTTAAGAAAAATATGAAACGTGAATTTTTAAAGTAGAACATAACTTTTTTTTTCTTTTGGATAATAGTACTGGTTTTAAGAATTTCGGCTAATTAAAATTCAACTAAAAAGTTGCTAATAAATAAGGAAAAAAGAATAAAGGTAATTTCAAGTTACTTATTTCGTTTCAAAGCGAATGCTCGCTGTCCACCAGTGTTTTGTGATGACATAATGAACAATGCTAAATTTCTTTGCAACGAAACATGAAATTAGCCATATGCTGGAAATAACATTTATTTAATTGGAAATTGCAAACATAAAATAGATGCGTATCTATAAATTAAGTAAGTGAGTTAAATGTAAATATAAAAACATAAATACACAAAGATGAATTAAATTAATTAAAAAAAAAAAACAATCAGCTACAGTTACAAATATGAAATAATCTTTCGAAGTTATATGCTAATTAATCCAGAAACACAGTGAAGCTAGAATAATAATTATATTTTCTATTATATATACATCCAATTCCCTCAATAAATTCTAACATCTCTCATAAATATAATCAAATCAATTAAAAATTTACTTGTTTAATTGCTATCAATTTTTAGTTCATGAAATAATCACTTTTTTTCAAAAAAAAAAAGAAAAAAAAATTTTACAGTAATTGCAAAAAATTTTCCAAATTTTTTCACTAAAATTTCACCAAAAATTTCAATCAAAATGCTATGAATATTTTCGAAAATTTTAGAATTTTTTGAACAATCAATCATAAAATATATGAAATTCTTGTACAAAAATTTTAACACATTTAATTGGATCAATAAATGATATAAAGGAGCGGTAAAAGAGAGAAAAATTGCAAATGAAATGATTTATTTTGTTTAATTATCTATATTTTTTCATATTCAATTGATAAATATAATATTACAAATTATGAAACATAATTAATTTATCTTTACTAAAAAAAAAATAATTCATTTCTTATTGGTTATTTCTATGGAAAAAAAAAATGAGAAATTAGCTGATGAATTAATTATCTGTTTATTATTTCTTATCAAATCAATAACCAAACAATTTCGTTTCGTTTTTTTTTTTCCCTTTTTTTTTCAAATTATCATTTTTTTATTTAATTATTTATGATATTGAAAGCATTATGTTTTTTTTTTCTTTTTTAAAATTAATACGATGCAAGGTAATATTAGAAATTGATAATTGTAATAAAAATAAAATAAGTATGTTTCTTCTTTCTCAAAAATTTCCATTTAATTTAAAATTGGAAAAGTTATTGGAAGAGAAAAGGAAAGCTAAACTAAAATAACAAATATCATTGAAATTATTGAAATGAAAATATTTACGAATTAATTCGATAATGTCTCTTTCGTTTCTCGTTGTGTTAAAATTTTTAAAAATTTCTAAACTTTTAAATGTACGATCAAAAAAAAAAAAAAATCTGATAAAAACTTGTGAGTTGTGATGAATGATTGTGATATTAATAATAATAATAATTGTGATAATGATAACAACAATAATTGGTGATAATAATGATAAGAACGATTTTTTTGACAACAATTATTATTAGAAGAGAAATGATATATTATAAAAAAAATAATTTTTGTTCAAATAGCAACTTTTTTAATAATAATAATAAAAGATGATAAGAGTAATGTTCATAACAGTGATAAATGATAGTGATAATGATAATGATAATAGAGTGTCAAAATTTTAATTTGCAAGTGATAATGTTTTGTTAAAAAAAGGAAAAAAAATAAAATATCAGTCAAAATTATTCAGACAAAATATAATTCATATTATTATTCAGTAGCATTAAATATTTGAAAGGATAATTAAGAAATGGAAATATTGAAATTAGTGTAAAATGTGAAAGTAATTAATAACAAATTTATAAATTCTATTTTTTTTAATTCTTCCAGCAATTGAAATGATAAAATAAACAAATTGAAAAAGTAAAAAAGAGAATGAACAGATAAATATTACAACAAAATGATAGCAATGAACAGCAGTTGCTGAGGAATTTGTACTAAATAAATGATTAGGGAAAGATGGATGATTGGTTGGTTGGTTGATTGGTTTAGTTGGTTGGTTGGTTGATTAGTTGGTTGGTTGGTTGCTTTAGTGATGGATAAAAGAGAATAAACAATTTATCGATTATGCTTTTAAAAATTAGACAGATAATTTTAGATAAACAAAACGAAAAAATGAAAGAAAAAAAAGTTAATTTTTTTTTTTTTTAAATTTTAAATTAAAAAAAAAAAACTATCATTTATGTTTATTTTTTAAACAGAAAAAAAATAAAAATTTTCACAATTTAATATAGTTAGTAGTGGGAAAAAAAAAGTTATAAAATAAAGTTTTATTTTATGATTAATCAATTTACTTAATTGAATTTAGTAAATATATGGCATAAAAAAAAAAACAAAAAAACAAACAAATATGATAATTACTGGTATATTTTACATGCAGTGAGCAAAAAAGTTGTAAAATTTATTTATCTATCATTTTGCTATTCTGATATGATCGTATTAAAATTAAACGTACGTGATATCCACGTACGTGATATTAATAGAGTTGAATTTTCATCAAATTTCATTCATAAATATGATTAAGAATATTTTATTCGTTAACAATGAATTTATAATAGTAAATACATTCTGAGAGAGATGAAAGATCATAATATCATCTATAAAATGATAATATCAGTGCATAAAAAATAAAAAAAAAAAAGTTATTGATAAAAAATTGATTGATTATTTTAACATATCAGAAATTATTATGCATTTTTTCTAATCCATAATTAAATTAAAGTTTAGGAAGCAAAAAATCATTTTCGATAATAATTTCAAAAAATGAAAGATAAAAAATAAATGAAAATACACGCAAAATATAATTATAATCGTAATTATCATTGCAAATTACAAACTAATCAAAATTATCAAAAATGACTATTTTTTTTTAAAAAAAAAATTGAATTATATTAAAAAAAAAATTAAACTTAAAATTGAATTATATTATTGCTTATTAATTCAATAATTTTACTTCCTGAAATTTTACTAACATTGTTAAACAAATAATTATAATAAGCACAAAATGATAAATTTATAAAAGATTATATTAAAAAAATTAATGAAACTGATATATTATTGGCAAAAAAAATAGCAGAATGATTAATCTAATTAAAATTTATCAATGAGTTATTAAAAATTGTATATTATCGAAGAAAAAAAAAATTAATAAATCATATAAATAAATTAGAAAAAAGAAACAATAAATAGAAAGAAAAAATTAAAAATTCTTCTAATATTTAAATAAATTTTATAAAATGATAAATTTATATAAGATCAGATTAAAATAATTAATAAAACTGTTGTATTATTAGTTTAATTTGATCATTAAAAAATTAAAAAATGACAAAACTTATTTATAATTTTTCATTTCACAAAAAAAAAAATAAGAAAAGAAAAAAAAATACATTTCAAAATACATTGATAAATAATATATTCTCGAAATTAACCAATCAATAGAAGATATTATGATTCAAACAAATCAATAATTGTTGCAACAATATTATTTATTGTTTGTTTGCCATTCTTATTGTTTGCCCATTCTAAAATAATTTCATTTTTGGAAAGAAAAAATTTCTATTTAAAATTGAATTTAAAAAGTAAAAGTAATTCTAAACAATTTATAATTTAAATTTCTAAAATAATAGCAAATGCAGAAATAATAGAGGAAAAAAGTTGAAGTAGTAAAAATTTTTGCAATTTTTATCTTCTATAATAATAATATACATTATTTGGAAATACTTTCAACGTATAATTTTTTTTTTTTTTTGAATTTTATTTTAAATAAATTTTGATTATTGCAAGAAAATTAATTGAGCAAATAAATGGAGAAAGAATGGATTTGATTTGAAAAATTCTTGTTAAATAGGTTTCTTTTTTTTTTTTTTAAAAAAATTCAAATATTACAATTATTTTTTATGTGCAATTAAAATTCTTTCATTTTTTTAACAGTCATTTAAAATTAATTTTTCTTGATTAAATGATATTTTTACATTTAATATAAATTCTTAATGCAAATATTCCTTAATGTGCAAAGATGATAATAATGATAAGATGTTATCATCGATTATTTTTTTTTTCTTCTTCATTCTACTATTACTATTAAATTTAGTTTTTGCAACAAAATAAAATTATTATAAAAATATAATTATATTTCTTGCAAATTTATCAATTAGCATCTGAATTAATTAACATTTATTGATCATAAACTGTCAATTAGCATTTGAAATTTAAGCAAAAAATGATAACAAAATGATAAGAATGATAAGTTAATGAAATAAGCTAAATTTATCCAATTAAAAATTTATCATTTTCAATTACCATTTAATTTTAGGTTGAATTCCATTCAGATAAACAGAAATTATCAATATCACATCACTGACCATTAAAAATTTTTCAATTCATTGAGAGATGCAAAAATAATAATAATAATAAATATATTTTGTTAATTAAAAAAAAAAGAAAGAAAAAGGTAATTTTTTTTGCTTAAATTTTAAGCTTAATTAGTTATTAATTAATTAATAAAAAAGCAGATGAAAATTTTAATAAATTTTTAAAAGTGATTTGTAGAAATGAATCAATAAATACAAAATTAGAATTTACTTTTGATAAAGGTTACTTTTAATTTTTATTTTAATTTTTTTTTAAGAAAAAAGATGGAAAAAAGAAATTATCGTACATTAAAATGATCCGATAAATTGAATATTAACAAATAATCAGATGCAAACAAACAAAAAAAAAAAAATGCCTTAAGAATATTAAATTTTTATTTCAAATTAAAATTATATCAAATTTACATTTAAAAAAAAAATAAATAAAATTTATCAAAATTATAAAGTATTTTCTATCATAGCGAATATTAAATTAAGAAATAACAGTAATTCCATTATAAAATTATAAATAAAATTTTGAAAATTTGCTCTTACATTTTGAGAATCATAAAAATCACTTAAATATTTTATATTTTTATTTACTAATTTCATCTATTTTTCTTAAAAGCATAAAAAAAAACAAAAAATTTAAAATGATTCACATTTGTATTTACTGTTATTAAAAGTTTTTTAAATTTAATAAAAAAAATCATAGTTTTTTTATTTATTTATTTTTTCTTTTTGCATTCTTTTTTTAAAGATTTATTTTTTTTTCTT